TCTTCCCCCGGGGGTTCGTGGCAAGCCTCTGCCCACACGCACACCCCCCCACCACGGGGATGTGGCCCTTGGGGGCGGCTGGAGGAGCCCCTCGCCTCGGTAGTAGCTTTGTGGGCCTCCCCCCCCGGGGCCTACCTCTCCCCTGCCAAAGCCCGGCTTCCCCACCGGGGACAGGGTGCCGGCAGCAGGCCGGCCCTGCCCGGGAGGCGAGAGCGAGCGCTGGGTTAGCTCAGAGCTTCGGTTCTTGGTGGACGGGAGCTGCGAAGCCCAGCGCGTCGTCTGGCCGCGTTACAGGTAGGTGTTGGCACGGGCTTTGGTCTTGGGTGACGCTCGGCTGGCGGTCTTCGGTGGGAAGCCGCGTTTCACCCGAGGAACCCGGCAGCGTGCTCTGCAGGAGAGACTTTGGGGTGAAGGCCTTGGGCTTGCTTGCCTTGCAGGGCAGGGTAATGGGCTGACACTCTTCCTACAGCTTTCCGCTGCGCTCACCGAGACAAAGTGGGACCTCGGGAGCCAGCGAGATGGAGACAAGGAGCCACGTGCAGCCCTCTCCTGCGTGAAAGCCCTTGTCTTTCTGCTGGGGTTGTGGCTTCCTGTTGATCGCTATTGCTACGCGCCGTGGGTCTCTCTTACGCCGTTAGGATAAGGTCATATCGGTGATGTCACGTTCGTTCTTGGCCTTTTATGTGGTCTCATGGGAGTGGTGCTTGGAGGAGTTAGAAAGGTGACGTTTCGTGCCAGCTTCCCGGCGGTGAACCTAATTTTAAAAGCACTTTTTATATATCAAGCGAAGTGCTGAGCAGTGTCAAGTGTAGGTGTGGAAATGCAGGCAGTGAAGTTGCAGCTCTCTTCCTCTTCCCTTTCTGTGTTATTCTTTATTGGTTTGGGGGTGGTGTGTCTCATGTGCCGATCAGCTCTGATAACAAGCAGTTATGCCGTCTGGTCTTTCTACATCAATGTGGCTTTTGTTTCTTTTTTTTTAATCCTTGAGCGTGGAAGAAATGGTAATATCGGTCTATGCTGATGTGGGACTAAAGAAATGGCTACTGAGCACCGATGCTTAGGCAGACTTTTGTTTTTCTGTTCCTACGTTTATTTTAGGCTTTCAGCAGTCAAGGTTGGGTTTTTTGCTGGGTGTGTCAAAGGAGAACCAAAGGCCGTGCTGCAGAAATTGGCAGGTAGCTTCCTCTGATGCAGACAAGTCCGTTCTGTTCAGAAGCAGAAAATATCTTTTCCAAGAAATACTGTTTGAATGTCTTAAGACTTTGCTCGTGTGTCATTGGGGATGGTGGGCGGGGGGGGGAGATGGAAAACAGAACTGAAACAGTTATTGCTACAGTCCTCTAAAAGAAATACAAACTACTAGGCTTTGAGGACCGATTAGGCTGCCGTGTTTATTCTGCACCAGATCAGGATTGTTCTCTGTAGTATATTTTTCAGTGCTTTGAGTCACTTAAAAACAAGATAATGGAGTTTGCATAAAAATAGGATCATTGTTCCTGAAGAGTTCATTTGCTGCTTCTGCTTTTATTTCTTATCTGATGTCACACTGTTTGGCTTGTTATAAAATATTTAGCCTCCGTGGGGAGGGATTGTATCGTAAAAAGAATGAGGGCTACAAAAGTGGAAGGAGCAGAAGGGAGCAGAGGGAGAGCTAAAAAAATTGTTACCAAATATACTTACATGAAAGCTTTGCATAAGGAGGTCCTTCAGAATTCTCATTCAAGGGAGACTTATGCTTAGAGACTGACTTACGTAAGTTGTATTAGTTCCACTAAATATTTGTCACATTTCGAAGAAATAATAGTCCTTGCATCTCCTTTTACGGCCCAGAGCTGTGCTGGCTCATTGCATGGGCTAGAGGCTCTTGCTCTCTCATCCACCTGCTTTGCATGTGTCTGTGCTCTAGCCCAGCAAAGTGTCATCTGCTGTAGTGCAGCTTGGTCTGCCTCGAGCAAGGCTGGCCGGGGCTGCATCCTTTGCCAATCGTTCTGCTTTCTCTGAAAATGAAGATGCTGCGTATTCTCTTCCTAGCACACGTCGTAACCAGCTGGTTGCATTATCTTGAATGAGTTCAGCTTAAGTTTTATGCCAGACTCCTCTGTGCTGTAATAGTTCAGTATCTAATTATGTAAAGGCGATGCAATTGGAATGTTGCTTCTGATGGATTTTCACAAAGATCAAGTTTATGTTCTTTCTATTGCTGTCTTTGTGAGGTACAAAACGAACTTGAAATGTCTGCAGCCCAAAAACATCAGCTCTGAAATACCAGGAATGCTGAGTTTGATCTGGGCTTTGCTGGAGGCTTCATTGCTGTGTCTGAAAGCATGTTTATTGTAAGTCCTAACCCCCTAACTGAAAGAGTAATGATAACCAGAATTCCACGGTTATTCTTTACCCAAATTTAATTTTTTGTACAGAGAAAGAGAATTTCCAGACACTGTTTATCAGATCAAAGGAGCCCCTGATTCCTAAGAGATCTGTAAACAAGCAAAAAACTTACAGTGCTTGCATTTAACATTTTTTTTTTCAATTATGTGCAAGTTTCAGAAACAAATATAGCACTTCAGGTAGTGAAGAGGTGCTCCCACTGCCCTGCTCTAGGTCACTGTATTGCAGGTTCCCACGTGGATAGCTGTGCTTACCAAATCTGTGCTGGTCGCTGTGCACAGATGTGGGATGTTGCAGCCATAGAAGGTGTGGAGTGCCTGAAATGTACCTTGTGGTTGATGGTTTTCTTGTGAAGCTACATTGGAGGCCGCTGGGTTACTGTGACAGTAGTTTAATGTGTTGCTGCTGGAAGAATTTACATCACTGGAAAAGGCTTAAGTAGGATTTTATTTTAATGAATAGTAGGTGTTCCTTGTTTAAAAAAAAAGTCCTGTAGTATTTCTGAAACCTTATGGGGTTTTGTGCTTTTTTGTTGTTTTTTTTTAAATGTTCTCAACCTTTTTTTATTCCCCTTTCCTTCCCCCCCCCCCCCCAATGAAGCTGACAGACACTGGTTGGGGTAGTGTAATATAATTCCTTGTAGTCTTTGAAGTGGAAGAAATGCAAAGGTGAACAACAAAGGAAAAGATATTTGTATCCTTTTATTCTTGTTAAGGCATGTGACTGGGAGCCAGGAAAACTAGATTCCATTCATGGCATTGTACAGGCTTCCTGTATGAATTTGAACTAGCTGTTGAATCCAACCTTCGGTAAGTTGGCCAGTCATCATGCTGATGAGAAAAGTGACTTCCTTTGCTGTCAGCAGCTAAAAATCCTGCATGCACAAAGTTGCATTGGTTTAAAAAAAAATAAAGTTGGAGAAAAGTGCTCTTGAGAAGTGGTAGCAAGAAAGCTGCATTGCTGAGGAGGTGACCTTGTTTGCCTGAGAAGAGCTGGCATAGGGCGTACACCCAAAATTATATAAGCATGTATCCAGACTTAAAAAAACTTCTGGAGATCTAACCTGGGAGGTTTTGTTTTAATCTCTAAATCATGTGAAGGACTTTAAGTCTGCTGCGAATCACCTGAAAACTGTTTCTTATATGTAAAGCTGGTGATGGTGACCTTCTGTGGCAATTCTGCTGTGGTTTGGTGGGCCTTGAAGGATTTGACTAGTGCCCCCTGCTACTTTCTTTACACTGGGGAAAAAAAAAGATGTTTCAACGCTAAAATTCTCTTTTGAATAATGCAAAAAGAGGGGTGGTGTCTGAAGACATGAACAGAAAACCTGAAAGATGCTGAAAGGGACAAAAGTCTGTCCTATAAAGAGATGCTTCATCCTTGAGTGTATTAACTGTTTTCAGATAATGATTGCTGGAATGTATTTGCTAGTGCATTCCAGTGTTGTGACTATCCAAGTAATGTGATTTTCCAAGTGGTTTTATCCTCGATAAATCTGACAATAGTGTTTTTTCTCCCTAAGACTTCACTCGAGTTGGAGCTACTTTTAACTCTAAAGCCTGCTGCTTCTCTTTCTTCAGTAAGAATAGTTCAGATGATGGCCGCAGAACTTGAAACGGGCAGGGCAGTCTCCAAACCCCAGATGAGTAAGAGGTGGAGGAATGATATCATCCCATTTCACTGATTAAATCGATAATGACAAATCTGCTTTGCATGAGACAGCCTTGCAACTAAAATAACATTTTTATACATATTTAATGATCTTGGACTCCTTTTTGCTCTTTGCTTTTGAATGTGGGCTCTTGAGCGAAATATTACTTTGCTTAAAATAGTCCTGTAATTTGAAACTAAAAAATTATTCTGATAAGCTGGTAGCTGATAACTATCTACTGTAGCTGAACAGCCAAATAAAAACAATAGCTATCACTCTGGGGGAGTGGAAACAGTGCTAAAACAATCCTGGAGCAAATACTTGTGTTAGCTGAGTACAGTACATGGATGTCCTATAGTAGGATAATTATAGTCCTTTCAAAAAGAACTATATGTATGGTTTTATGTCTCCATGTGTTCTGTTAACAATGTTACTGAATTACTGGTGATACTTATGTAGCCTTGACTGGTTGTCAATTGCTGACCTGTATGCATAAGCATAGCTAACCAGTCTGAATTGCATATTGTTTTTTTAAAACTGGATGCTTAAGATTTCCACTCTCATGAATAAGTTTAATTTGCATGACTGAAGTCATCACATATCTCGGTGTCAGCTGATTGCCACAGACAACAAAGACCACAGGTTCAGCTAACTTATTTTAAGTGAAAGCTGAAAAGGCAGTTACACTTCAGATTTTTTTTTCCATCTTCTTTAACAAGCAGGTTATTAAATGCCATGTTAAGTGGCTTGTTCTAAAGACTGACAGAAAACTGAGCTATTTGTTGAAATCCAATATAAAAGCTATTTTTCTGAAAAGTTGAAGTCTTGTCATTTTTAGAGCCTGAAACTCCAGAACTGAAACACGTGAGCATACTGTGGCCTGGCACAGGCTGAAATCACTGCTGAGGTTTCAGTGGCCTATTCCTCTGGTGCTGTGTAACAAACATTTCAGTTCTGCTATTTGTCATTTATGCTATGCAAAGATCCAACTTGAGTTGCAAAGTGTGTCAGAAGGGTGCAGGTCCTCCAGCTGGGATCATAATCCTCAGTCATAAATGCTGCTCTTGTCTGGCTTGTTGGGTGGGAAGCACACCAAACGCAGTGCACGCTCGGGAGATTTTTCTCTGTGTAGTCTGCCAGAAATTCTGTAGATTTTAACGTATGAATACCAGAAGTGAATACCTGCATAAGTAAGATTTTTGGATGAAGCTGAAATTAAAATAATAAAAATCTTGTGACATAAAATGCTAATTTC